CTGCTGTTTCTTTCCCTCTAGTGTTCTTTATAGGAATATCAACCACCTATTCCTTCCCTGCAGATCCTCGGTGTGGCCACAACATGACCACATCCTGCCCCAAACAATTACATCAAAAAGGAAAAGCCAGCAGAACTGCCAGCGCTCAGCCGGGGAAAAGGAACAGCAGCGACAGACCCGTTCCTGGAGATGCCTGCACAAGAGCTGCTCGGCAAAGAAAAAGCAGCACCAGCTTGCCTCGTCGCGGCGAAAACTCTTATTGTACCAATATTGCAGGATTCTGGCAAAAAAACCAAAACCTGTGAGAAGGAGGGGCCTTGTGGTTTGCCAAGTGAAATGGTCCAGGGGCAGAACGAGTGAAAGACGGAGGGTTTGGAGCACGTCAGAGCCTCGGTTCAGCGCGGCCCCCGAGCACACCGGAGTGGTACAACGGAGGGCAGCGCGAGGAAGCGCGGGACTAAGACTAAGCAGCTGGTGGCGAGCGAATCCCTGTGCCCGTTGCGTTTGTCTCAGTTTTCCACACTGCAAAACGCAAGTTCACGCAACAGCAGGCCCCGAAGGACCCGGAGAGCTCGCCGGCTCAGTGCCAAAAACTGGATCTTCAAAGCCCAAAGAGGGCGATGGGTAAATGAGACCGTTGCCCCTACAAGGCCGTACGCATGTCCTAGGTTGTCATACCCATCTGAAATTTGCATTTGGGGGGTTTAACTGTAAAAACCTGCCTTGCCCTGGGCAGAAGTTCAACTCGGAGAGCTTCCACGCTAGATGCTTTACCTTCCCTCTATTGAAGAAATTCAGAGGAAAAAATAATTTAGCCACATCCAAGGTGAAAAGAGCATTTTCCAGTGGCAGATTCTGAGAAAGTCCCGGCCTCGCTCACGCTTGGCTGGAGCAGCAGTTGAAGTGTATGCGACTGGTCCTGGGGAAGCCCTTTGCAGGGCTTGTTCTCTGTTAGGGTCAGCACATCCGAGGTCTCCATATCCATTGTGCTTCCAGTCTGGATCCAAGGATGAGGCTGGGGAGAGGCTGAGGTATTGTGTGTTTTAACTGTTCTCTGTTTCCCAAGGCTGATGGAAGTTTTGGGACAGCACAGTATTAATGCAGCCCCGAGGCTGCTCTGATATACACTGGGGTGAGCAGAGGACAGAGCAGGGCCCTGGATGGCTTCAGAATGCACCGGTAAACCATAATTGAACACTTGAGGAGGACACATAATTTATAGAGATGCGTTTCTTTAAATAGGTACGGACATATAATTAATGATGACATACATTGCTGAGGCAGTCATTAACCTTGAACATTAACCTCTGACTCCTGTCAGAGACATTATTGGGTTCAACTGATCTTAGATTTGATCAGACAAGCAGTTCCTACACTAGTTGGCACAAGAGCTAAGAATCCCTCTTGCTATGAAATCTTAAAGTACTTGGAGAAACTTGGAGTGGTTTTGGTGGCTTCTTAACTACACAAGTTGTTCACTCACTCTATTAATTAACCTCTCTTCAGTTCAGCTTCGTAAAGCTGAAACAACTGTGAGCCCAGCTCAAGAGCCGATGGTACATCCATGCTGGTTGGCCACGTCCAGCCTGAAATGCAGTAACTGTGTGTCCTGAACAGCAGGGCATGATGCAAAGCAGAGGAGCGTGGGTGAAATCCTCTGGAAAGCACATGGCCACGTTAGACTTGTCTGCAGTTTGTGCTATCACACCTGTATTTTAATACAGAGACTAAAATAGAAAGTGAAGTTGTTTTAACGGTGACATCCGGAAAGCCAGAAACAGCAAAATAAACAGGGAAAAAGATGCAGACTGGGGGGACAGTCAGTGAAACGGCTACGGGGTAGCTAGAGTTTAAGCAAAGGGGCAGAAGTCACGGAAAGTTCTCTGGGAAACAGAACTGTTACAGGAGTAGGTGCACGGGCTACTGCTGCGCCCGTAAAGCCTTCAGAGGGCTGCTGCTCACCTGCTGACAGCAGAGACACAAGGGGTTTGGGCTCTGCTGAATTACAATCTTTTTCGAAAATATTTATGAGAAGTGCGCGAGGCGACACCCAAACCAAACAAACTTCATTGTTGGCGCACGGAAAGAAGGATGAGTTTGACGCTAAAGCATCGGGACTGAGCATTGGAAGGCCTGGTTTTGCCTCGTTCTTTGGTAGGGTACCTCTGACGTGGGGAACAGCCTGGGGCTTCCGAAAAGAGCCAGTTCCTTACGAGGGTGCATCTGCTCCAACTGTTCACCTTTACTGGCATTTCAAATCTTATCAGATTTACGTGACTTTCAGTTCCACAGTCAGTTCTGGGAGGCAGAGGGGAGGTGGTTGGGCTCTCAACTTCTCATCCAGTCTTGCACTGAATTTGTGTTTCTTTGGGTCTCTCACAGCAAAGAACTCTGCAGGGTTACCAGTGGGCTTAGAACCACATACACTATCTATTCCTATGTTAGGTCAAGGCTAAATGCAAATGGGTTTTGGGTTGGTTTTTTTTATTATAAAAGAGCTAAGAAGGGGGCAAGAAAGCATCAATCTAGGAAAACTTACTGAAAGCACCGGCTGCTTTTTGGTAGCATCGTCATTTTTAGGTGGGCTTCAAACTGCCCGTACAGAACATCTGCGAGTTGGCAGCTGCTATGAATAAACTGTGGGTGAAACTGTGAGCATGTCTCATCCTTCGGTTACCCAGAGACGTTTATGGCTATCTGGATGAGTCATTACTTAATTAGTGTTTGCATTACCAAAGCACCCAGAGGTCTCAGCCAGGCGTGGGACCCCATCGCGTGAAGAACCTTACACATACAGAGAGGCAGTCGCTGCCTCAGAGAAGTCACAACATAAACAGACTTGACAGAATAAGGACTGGAGGGAAACAAAAGCTTAGAGAGGGGCTGGCTGGCACACCACAGAGCAGTGTGGGGGATAAACCCCTTATCCTCTTGTCTCTCTGTCCAGTTATCTACAAAGGAAATCACACTGCATCTCTCTGCACTTGTAAGAAAAACAAAACAAGGCAAAAAAAGGCAAGTGCTATTGTACAAAACTGTGCTCAAACAAGTAAAAGCAACACTCCCAAATCAAATGCTTAAAAAACTGTCTTATTAAGGAAAAGTAAACAGAATTAGGAAGAGCAAACCAGCAGCATTGTTCAGGAAAGCGTCCTGATTTTCACCTTAATCAGAACAAGACTATCGGGGTATTCCACCTCCGTTAAGTCTGCTCTCTTTCTTCGTAAGCTGAGCATCCCCAGTCCCAGGCCACCGCCACCACCACGTCAGCCTGACTCTTCACAGCACCCTGGCCTCTCTGCAGCTTAGAGCTCTGAGTCCAACAACACTCCCTGCTCTTTTTTAGCTCCCATTGAGTTACACAGAAAAGCAGAATCTCTGGAAGGAGCTGGAGCAGCTATGTTTAATTAATCATTTTATATTAGAGATTATATCAAAGACTCAAATGTTTGAGACGTGCTGAACTTCACTGGTTTTTGAAGGTCAGAGACTTCACTGCCCCAAGTCCTCCCACAGTACAAGAAGGTCTGGTCACAGAAGCCCAGAAGGAAAGGCTAAAAATCTAGGGGCATCGCTTTTAGGATAATTCCTTCCTTCTTCAGTGAACTTCGGGTTGACAGATGCTATCCCAGTTATGCATGAGGTACTGGAGTCACCAGTATCTGGCAACATCCACACATTCCTCTCGGTAGCCTCCCGTGCACAGTAAGCTCTAGAGGGAACACCCAGTCCAGGCTATTTCCAAAAGGTTCAACCTAAAGGCCGCTCTCCTCACAAGCCTTAGCAGACGAGGCACAAGGACGGGTTCAGAATTAGTCCCCTGCAACACAAAGCAGCAGCTTCAGGTAACTGGAGATACAAACCAGCACCTGACTTAAAAAAAAAAAAAAAAATAAAAAGAAGGCACAAACTTGAGCAGAGAACATGCTTTATTGAGAAGTAGATACAAGAATAGCACATTCTACCACATCATGGGAACAGGGTTTAGCTTCTGCACAAGAATGGCCTTCTTCCCTACTCCACAAGAGATCTACTTGGTTGGATAGTTTCATGAGTATCTGTAGTTAGTTACAATACAGGAGCAAAGGGCGTGAGACAGCAAAACTCAGTAATGCCCACAAGGTACACACCATGTACTGATGATCTTGTTTCTTTTTTTAAGGAGGCAGAGAAAGGCAGACAACCATCAGAAGAGCAGCAGAGAACTTTTCCACATTAGGATGGGTCAGTGGTTAACAAGAAACGGCTCCTACCTACTGGTACGTTGCAAGTGCTTCATTTCAGACACCATTCCATGAGGAAGCATTGGAAGGTTTAAGTGAAATCAGCACTATATGATGCTGCCATCGTCTACCCCAAGATTGTCCCCCCTTTTAATTACACTGGAGCCATGTAGGAAACTTGTGGCACAAGGACAGTGGTTATACTTGAAAGCCATTGTACGATAGTTTCTTCCGGTGGTGCTGATGGGAGAGAGGAAGTAAAAGCTGGTTTGTTTTACAAAGACAAACAAGAATGCACTGTCAGAGAAGCAAACCATCCACACAGCTACCTGGAGCTGCCGCTGATGCACAGAACGTACACTGTAGGCAATCCAACACCTGACGATATTTGCATTGTAGAGTTTCTGTGGCTGTTTGGACAAGGCTAGCAAAAATCTGTCTAAAGTTTTTATTTCTTCAGTCTCAAGGGAAAAAATCCTCTCCAATACAGAGAGACCTACAATTCAAGGAAGACTGCTCTGGGAAAAACATCTCCAGCGAAATACACCGAACAGGCTGCTTCTGTGTAAAGGAACCCACTAACTCCAAGAGATAAACCAGGAAAAACCAGTAACTTATAATCAAAGAGGTCTCTCCAGCAGACGTGGTACTGTAGCAGCGCCAGGAGCGCAGACCAAGAGCAACTCTACGGAACATCTCAGACCATGATGTTCTCGCCTTGACTCCTCCAGGGTCACCCTGACGATCACACCCCACAGCTACGAGACAGGCAAGCTCCTGACTGCACAGCCCCACTACGTGAAGAGCTGCTATATCCTGCCGAAACCACCGCTGAAAGAGGCGGCGTGTTATCTTACTAAAACTATTGGAGACACGGAACAGTCCTTCAGGCAGGACTAGTTAAAAATGCTGAAGTCAGTGTAACTGCAGCTTGCTGGAAAACCAGACTTTCCCCAAACAAGCATTATTAGACCTTGTTCAAAAGCCACAGAAGTTATCTCCATTACTTCGAACGCAAGGAACCTGAAGGAAGAAACAACCAGATTATAGGACACAACACAACCTCATCGGAATAAGAACATGAGGGTAAGACCAGTGACTGGACAGGTACAGTACCAGATATCAGAACTCCTTGGGCCAGCGCTGCTAGGAGCTTCGTTTGGGTCCTATACAGATCCAATCCTTGCAACCTCATTGAGGCCGAAACATAAAGTTCCTCAGAACTAGCGTCTGTGGTGTGCACAAAAGATCTGGGCCAGAACAGTACCAAGGGGAACTGATCTTTCGGGAGGGTACTGTACCAGCCAATCACAACAGCAACAGATACGACAGAGATCCCTAGGGTACTTCCTACTGCTGGGGTTCACTGGCTTCAGGAGTGATAGACAGTTAAGTTCCCTTAGGAGGGGTCCATTTCAAACAGCTGGGATCCATTATCTTATTGCTGTTGGATCTTTTTGCCTCTTTGGCTATCCATTCATCAATCAGATCCTAAGGAAAAGAGCATGAAAGGGCAGGTTAAAACAAACAATCCACGGTGGAGAATCATCCATGGTACACCACCACACATCTAAGACCACAAATCTGAAGACGACCAGCCTTAGCACGACAAAAGTAACATTTCCTTCACGGCGCTGTCTAGAAGCCCTTCCAACCACACTGATAAGGCTGCTTTTAGCTACAAAGTGAAGTCTCGGGGAGGGAAAAACAACAGAGAGAAGCTGTCACATTTGGGGATTTATAAACCACTGCTCTTATATCTAACGAGGGCACAAACAAGACTCATCGGTTCACCTCTGTGTCATCCATTTGCCCAATAAAGGGCAGGCAGGACGAGGATCATGATGGGAACGTCGAGCCACTGCTCCCCTAAAAAAGCCACTTACAATGAGCAATGTTATTCCACACATCAGAAAAGGAAGGTCCATACAGCACGCTTCTACCCGACTGAAGAATCACGTTGGGTGCCCACGTCGTATTTTATCAGTTACTGCCTTTGAAAATCACAGTGCCCCCCTACTAGAATGAAAAGGCTGGAAAACCCAACACAGTGCAAAGGAAATGCTGATTTCAGCAAGTTTATATAAATCTAACAGCTAAATACGACGAAATAAAAACACAGAAATAGCCATCACGAATCTTACCTGTCTTTTTAGGACCAGGTGTTTTCCCTTCCAGTACTTGAGCATCTGAAGCGCCTGCAACGTGCTAACAATGTCGACAGGATTTACTGCGGTCTCCTGGCTGATTTCTGCAAACCAGTATCATCTTCTATTAGAATGGGAACAAATCCCTCCGCAACAGCCTATAACTATAAAGTTTTCAACTCCCGAGTTTTATGCAACTCCTTTTGAAGCAACACACACAAAACGCCCCACCCATACTAAGGAGGTACACGCAGTATTAGTGTTGCTGCTGGACCTGTACCCGCTGACCACCCGGGTTACCTGTAGCACTGCTACACAACGCGCCTCAGCTTACTGGGGACCGACTGAGCGCAGAAAGGCTGAAGAATCATTGAACCATTTAGGCTGGAAAACACCTCTAAGATCATCCAGTCCAACCATTAACCTAACACTGCCAAGCCCACCACTAGACCATGTCACTAAGCGCCTCATCTGCACGTCTTTTAAATCCCTCCAGGGATGGGGACTCCACCACTGCCCTGGGCAGCCTGTTCCAGTGCTGGACAACCCTGTCAGTTAAGAAATTTTTCCTAATGTCCAACCTAAACCTGCCCTGGTGCAAGCGAAGGCCGTTTCCTCTCCTCCTCCTACTCGATACTTGGGAGAAGCACCACCGGCTACGGACACAAGCCATGGACAGAACCAGCCCTGCTCACACCTGAACTGAAAGCCAGCCCAGACATCACAATGATTTAGCGATACTAGTTTTAGGATCCAAGTTAGTAAGGTGTAATCCTCTGAAAGAAGACGCAGGCACTTCTTCAGAACTACCTTGATACCTCTACGAAATGCCACAGACTCCAAGGTGCCGTAAAGATCAAATTGCTATTAAAAGAAGTCCAAATAGTTTAAGTATTTTTCCAAAACCTCTCAGTGGAGCCATTTTTTTTTTTAAATTAACATTCCCATCTACTGATGGATAAAACCCCTTGCTGGATCCTTTTAAGCAAATGTATTTTTTCAAAGCAGCAGCCAGTACATACTGTCAAAACCCTGCAAGGGGGCTTAGCTCCAACGGCGGCAGGACGGGAAAGGAGCCATACCCAAGCACAGGAATATTTCACGAACTGTGCTGCTGCACAAACACCTGTATTAATGAGTCACGCGTGACCTGCCTCGTTTTTGAGGAAAACGAGTGAGATGCACAGGTATGTTCCTGAACCAATTCACTACAAGCTTATTCAGCTTCAAAACACACCTTTTATAGAGATCTCCTTTCCTTGGAAATTATGCAGGTAACGAAGGAGAACTTCCTTCCAGTAACTACGGTAGCTGATGAGACCTAAATCAGACAGAGGGCGTTCCGGAGAGCCAACTTTTTCTTCTACTTTAGAAAGCAAATAGCCTGTAAAGGAAAGAAAACCTATTTGTGACTGTTACCCACTTTAGCACACGCAGCAATCAGCTGTAATGAAAACTGCTCAACCACCACCATAGACACGTTAGATTTCTTGGTGAAACCATCATGTTGGAGCGAATATGTTCCCCGTATTTCTCTCTCTACTTACTGAAGTCAATGAGCATCTTGCCGTAACCCTGCCTCATATACTGAGGCATTGTCAGGATACAAGAAACATTGTAGTTGAGAAAAGAATTCTTCTCCTAAAAACAGGAACACAGAGAGGACAGATTAACAAGTCTAGATCTGTACAAACAATGGGTACATCATAATCCCAACAGAGTGAACAAGCCTGTGCAACTGATACAACACAAGGTGAAAGCAGCAACAGCAGAAAAACCTGCCTAACAACAAGTAACATGATCACCCTTCAGCTCCCAACCTGGCTTAGTGTTTGCCTTTATTAGCCATTAACTGGGTGTTTGGGGCATGATTTTAAGGCTGGGATGGGTGGCTGTGGAGTGGTACCCGAGAAGGAGCCAGGAACACTCTCACTGCCACCTCTGTCACCTACATCGAGGTTTACATGCAACAAGGCAGTGACACAACAGCAGCATTATAAGCACGTGGTGTATATTGAAACGTTCAAAGAAGAGACTCAGACACACTTATCCTTAGATCAATGCATATTTTTCTTTAGAGTATTTTTTTTTTTTAGATATTTATTCAGTTTGACTCGGGTGATTTAAGGAACAAATTCCCTGCACTTTATTTGGGAGAGTATTCTCCCACCGACAGAATTTCACTGACTGAAATAGCTACACCGATAACCGCACTGCATGACATCACCATGGCCGGAAGGATAAGCATTTTTTCTGTACTGAAGTAAGAACAACCAGGAAATGTATTTCACCAATGTGCAGCGCAGATTAAACAGACAGACTGGCTATTTTTTAGGTAGGCAACATGTCTGAGCAAACCGTTGAGAAAACTGGCTCCTACTCTAAGCCTGGCCAGTGACTGACTTGTGGGATCTGCTTCTTAAGTTACTTGAGTTATGTCTCAGCTTCTCCACCTAAGAATTTTTATTCCTTCAAGCACTTTATTAAAAAAAAAAAAATCACAGTGACTAACACTTTAATGTATTTCTCTCTACATTTCTTTACATTTTCTTTATCCTTACTTTTATCTACGCTGAAGACACCACTACGCTTCCTAGCAACAATAGCTCATTGGAGCTGATTTGGTTTTTCGCTTGTAATGAGAAACAGCTACAGCAAAGCACCTGCAATCCCTGCAGCAAACAGCCAGAACAATTCGTGCAGATCAGGTTTGAAACTTTATCTCTTCCTAAAAGCAACAAATCCTGAGACTGCAAAAACTTGGAGGGGAGATTCAGTACTGGTAACTGGTGTCCTAAATCCCATCCTAGTGAGGTAGTCACGCGTATGTGTTTTCAACTAACCTTGGAGAAATATCCTATCAGGTGACAGCCAGTGTTGTCAGCTTCTGTCATGACATAGAAGAGGAAGGGTTCAACATCGTAATACAGTGTTTTATGGTCCAAGAAAAGTTTTGCCAGCAGACACAGGTTTTGACAGTAGATCTAGAAGCAAAAAGAGAGTAGGATACACCTGTTTAGTACAGTGGAACATCCCAAGAGTGGACAAACAGAGGCATAGATGGGAAACGACAAGAAAATTCTGAATCATCTGAGAAATGACGTACAGTCTATCCAACAGAGCAGCTGGGCCAGGAAACAATTCCATTTGTGATGACACTTGATAAGCACTTGACACTTAATTCCCTTCCTTCCTAAGGGTGGGAATTTGCGCTATCAATCTCGGAATGCCCAAAACATCACATCCTCGGTGAAGGGGAGCAGAAGGCTGGATCTATGCTTGCTTCCACTGTATTGTATTAAACCTGTGCTTCAAGGTTATCTCTGGTAACTCGCAAAGACTCCTGCCAACTTCCAGCAGCGCAGAATTTAGCTTTTAAATTTGTTTCTCTGTTCCTTCCTCCGGAGCCTTCAAGACCGGACACAACCAGAGACAGGGCACAGGCACCACGCTGTTACCTAGCACTGACTCTGCAGCCGCAGATTCGCGTTCTGCCCTTCAATTCAGGGTTAAGGACGTCACCCTCAATAACATCAGCTGCCTCTAACCCAAATTTGACCGAGCATTTACTGCAAACGGGAGATGGACAGCAGCAACCTACTGAGGCCAAGCACAGAAACCTCCCGACTTTCAGAAAGGGACCTTGACACACATCTCCAAGCACGGCGCGAGACAACCAGTGGAACTGCTGGAGCACAGCAGGGCTGAGGAACAGCCTCAAAGAAAACGCAGACCAAACTGCTGCCAGAATTGCCAGAACGGACAGATCAGACTCCAGGAGCCTTTCTGCAGCTAAGGGGAGATGGGGCCCTTTGCATCCCGTTTCCCCACAGGAAAAGCCACGCCCGGCCCACGTTCAGGACTGGCCTCGTGATGGCAGGTCGTTACCTTGTTCTTTTTCCCATCCACTTCAAACACCGAAATGGAGCCTTTGCGGTAGATTTCATCACCTGGTGGATGTTTCCAAACACATTTTGCCTATGACAGGAAAACAAAGTTAGGGTGATGCTACAGTTTTAAGGGCATAAAAGGTTACAACAGCTACTGGATATACCAGGAAACGTGCAGTCTTCTCACCTCCTAAAGCAAGCAAACTGAGCTAACAACAGTGATGTTTTAACACCTTTACATGCTGACATCAGATTTAAAACTCAGGAACCAGTTCTGCCCTGGCCCTTACCATGTGCCTGCGCAGTATGGTCTGGCTCTTCATATATTTGAGACAGAACTCACACATGTAGAGACGTCCCAGACGAGCATACTCCTCTGGGTAGGGAGAATGATACCAGGTATCCAGCTCGTAACGGCCAAAAGCGATTGTTTTAATCATATTGCTGCCTTCTGTGATCTGGCCCTGGAGCCGCAACTTTTCCTATGAATGAAAAAAAATAGATGATTATTTAAAAAAAAAAAAAAGATTAAAAAGTCGGTCAAGAGGAAGAGAGGCCTATTTATTTCCTTCAAGGCAAAAATTTACTTCAAGTCTCCTAAATTCATCTTCCAGTGCGGCCGTGTCTGGTGACCCCTCCCACAGACCTCTCCTCAGCCAAACGCAGGCCGAGCCCTGCCCACGAGCCGTACCGTTACTGACTGGTCCTTGCGAACCCGCACGTGGCTAACTCCAGGAACGCACTCAAGGTACCTCCTTGCCACTTCACGCTGCTTTCCCAACCTCCAGGGAGAGGACACAGCCTAATGCTCTGCCTTAGATATCCCAGCTGCAACTGTCACCGGTAAGCATCAAAGTCTCTTTCGGTTCATCTCTGGAGACGGGCGGCAGCTTTGGGAAGCACCTGCTGAAGCCTCAGCAATACAAGGTTTCAAACCCCATTCCGCAGCCCCCGGCTACCGTCAAGATGGCTTTTGGCTTTTGTTATCGTCACTCCTTAGCCACCCTTTCAGCAGGTGAACCTGGCCGTTCTTTCACTGAAAACAAACACCTATTAAACGGGACTGTCGCTAATTATTCCTCTTACAGGCACTGCAGCGTTCATGGCTGCAAAGGCTCAGCTCCAGCTGTACTTTCAGCCAACCCTCTGACTGACCAGCACTTAAATGTCAACCCTAGTGTAACGCCGCTGACCCGGCTGGGCTGTGGCTGCTCTTACAGACTCTGATTCTGTCTGCACAAGTCCCACAAAACCCAAAAGCCTTCACGTTTCTAACAAAGGCATCTGCTATGAGACAGGAGTTCGAAGTCTCACCAGGTCCTAAGACGCCCGTTCGCTCTTCGGAAGAGCTCGAGGTCGTACTCACTCGTCAGGTTTTCAAGTAGAGGTTCCCTAGTATTGCCATAGGTTTGTCTGTGCTCCTAAAACAATAAAACAATAGGAGGTTTCGCTGCCACGCTGCTACTAAGCTGTTGAATTTGGCAGCTTTTTTAGCTGAGAGTGTTGCAGGATGACTGGGAAAGCCAAACTCCTGCTTAGTGGTCTCGTTCCAGACAGGAGGGAATGAAAAAATAAGGTTAATCCTTTTACCATATACTTTTCTTTTTGCTCCTTGCTTAGTCCTGAGTTCCTCTTCTTCCTGAGCTCAGCTACTTTCTCTTTGTATCGCAGCTGCCTCTCTGTTGGTGCCTGAAAGAAACCAGAAGTGGAAACCTTCACCCACTTCAAACATTTTTCCTCACCTTCCCACCCTAAAGGACCTCTGTCCTGGCTTTCATTTTATGCAGTTTGTTGCCTCTGAACCCAATCCTGCGCTAATAAGAGGGCACGGCAGGTACAACACAGGTACGTAAAAGAGGAAATTTCTCTTCCTTTGCCAAGGTACCTCGGTCCCACAAGCCAGGGTGCACTCCTTACACACCGCTTAATCATGGGGAAAAGCTCAGAGCTGACTCATTAAGTCATCTTGACTCACGTCCAAAACTCACGAGCTGAAAAATGTAATTCCCCTGGTTTTATTCTTTTCTATTTAGTCAGAGCAAAATTGTAGTTTACGGTTCTGCAGGAATTCTCTTGTCCTACACATCAAAGCACACAGAAAAGCTCATCCAGAGAACAGCTCCAGCCTCCTTTGCAGTATTTACTGGCCAACGCCACCTCGCTGCTCTCACTGGCTGCTCCAGTCTCTCACTTAGGGATACAACCAATTGCCCTGGCTGAAACAAGCTGGAAGTGACAAACGGGGAGTGTCAGGACTCGGCACAATAGTTTATCTGAGAAGCGAAGAAGGGAAATCAAGTTAAGAGTCACTGTCGCTGGAAACCACAAGCTGAGGGTTTTTCTCCCCTTGGAACCGCGCGGCCACCCCGTCACGGGCAGGTTGCCTACCTGGTGCCTGGTGGCATGCCTGTTGTTGTCATCCTGCCGGTGGGCCAGCATCCTCTCCTCAATCTGCTTATCCCGGCTCTGCGCTCGCACCTGGAAGCCAAAACTCATCCGTCAATGCTGCGGCAAACTCCTACCAAAGGCTTCACCTTTTCCTTTCCTCGTTTAGGTGAATTTTCTGAACAATTCACAGACGGTTTGACACACGAATGCTGCTGTCTTACAGCTAAAGGCATCAGCTGAAACATCTTAACTCTAATTTCTGTTCACAAATGACAGGTCTTCGCATTCTGTTCCAAAAAAACCCATAAAGATGATAAACCAGGAGATTCATTTACCTTGCACTCGTCTGCTGAGAGGTTATGATACAGCGGGCACCCCGATATGGAGAAGTGTCGCTCGTGTTTTCCAGTCAGGTGTCCTGCAAAGAATCAGAAAGAAAAAACCCACCTTTTAACGTATGCTCATAGAGAGGTTTAAGAAGTATCCCAGATGGGCAGATCCCTCACACAACTTCTCAAGGAGCATGCTCGGCTTATTACCAGCGTGAGAGAAGGAGCACACTTCACAGTTCACGGCACGAGCTTTAAGAACAAAGAAGGAAAAATCTTTTTGATGCTAACTCAAAAGCTGCACTCCATGCAAGCAGCCAGGTCTGCAATAAAGTGTCCCTGACAATCTGCCTCTGGAAGAGACCAGTCCCCTACCTGCAGGCCCTGCATTTTCCTCCCACCCCTCTGCTCATACTCCTAACCTGTGCTTTACCCTATCATCCCCCAAACACTCCTAGCCAGAACACATCTCCAGGAAGAAGACACCTGGAGATCTGCTTCATATCCCTTCTCTACACCCACTTCTCAGCAACACTTCTGATCTTAATTAAGTGCGTGTTGTTAGGAGGTATAACTCGACTGAGCAGGACTTTGATTATCACAGCAGGAAGGCAAAACCCAACAGATATAATCCTGGAGCTGAAATTACCTAAAGAGTTACAACCAGGAGTGGGACATTTCATGTTGAAATTGTAGCTTTCATGGAAGCGGCGGCGCTTAGGGCGGTGAGACAGGTCACTTCCAGAATCCTTCATGGACATGTCCTTGGCAATGCTCTCATCATGGGATACATTTGGACTGGAGATATCAATATCAGACTCTGAGGAAGGGGCATTCCCGGTGGGGGTACGAGGTGGAGACTCATCGTGATCCGCTGCATTTTTAGTGTCTGAATAAGGATCAAGATGTTACAAATTTGCCTGAAAGAAAGCTTTCAAAAAAATACGTAAAGCAACTCCAGACAGCCGTCTCAAACCCTCTGTCCTCAGGGTATTATACTGTGCCCTCAGAGAATGGAACGGCATACTCTTTCCAAGAGCATTTTGCAAACTCTCAGCACCTCGCTGCACCCGACGTACCTCTATCAGAAAAGTCAACCACTTGCTCAGTCTCTGACCCAGATGAGCGAGTCTGCCGGAGCGGGTACTTCTTTGGAGTCACGGGAGCGGGCTGCTGCTGGCTGCGGGTCACCCTCCTCGTGGAATAGACAGGCTCTTCTGCTCCGAACGACGGTGGATTACGAACTGGGCTGGAATCTGATGCCACAGAAACACCGTAATTACACCCACAACCACCACTGTAAGTCAGAGACTGGCCCCACGCGTGCTCCGAAGTCCGGAATCCCAACATCTGACGACTGGGGATCAGCAGAGCGCCATCCGACCGCTCGCCGCTGCACGTCGGCACAAAGATACGGGCTGTTCTTCCGAGCTTAAATCTTTGGATGCTTTCACCAACACTGAGAAATCTGTGATTTCTCCGGACTTAATTAAGTAACAAGTAATTACAAACCAGCTCCCATCTGGAAAGCTAAAGAACCATGAGTTTAGATAAGAACTATCAGTGTTTAGATAAACCTTGGGAATAGCAAGACTGCTTCTGGTGTGGAGAGGTATTTGGGACCCTGTGTATGGTTTTGTGATCTTATACTGCTCATAAGGCTATAAAATTATTATTTTGCATGAAAACAGTGCTTTCAGAACCTAGGAATATCACAGGCATCCTATAGGCATCCAAGCCAGATTTCCTCGTTTTTTTAAGACCTAATTACCAGATGATCATGGATGTATGTTTCTTACCTGCAATAAAATTTGTCACAAAACAGATTCTTTGATTCTTTACCAAAACATATACGTGGAGCAACAGAAAGAAGTTGTCATCTACTGTCATTTCCTCCCCTTGATGCCAGATGGCAGCTTATTAGCTACCAGCCAAGAAATTACTACACTAACACTAAAAATGTGGAGGTGGACGCATTCAACGTTTCCTTTTACAGTCTGGATGCCAAAGCAGAAGCACACAAAATAACCAGCAATATGTTGATTACATTTACTGCGGAGCAGGGTCAGCGGCAGCACGAAAATACAACTCCCCTTGCAGTACAGAAACCCCCAAACAAACGAACAAAGAAAACAAAAACAACTTTCACCTCCAAACACCCTCTCTCTAGCTTGGCCCCAGTCCCCATATAACTGTCTAGATGTAGAGCAGATTTTTAAGAGTTCTCAGAAAAATCAGGCAAAGCTGGCAGCAGAATCACGGTGTTGGATTCCTACTTCCCTTAACAAGGAGACAGCTTTACTGTTTGAACAGAGGATACTTGAGTTTCGACTGCCACACCACTGTAATCTTTAGATTGGGTCACCTCATTTGTGCGATACACGCGAATAAAGACTGCTTTCTGCTGTGGTGCATCAACAGCCAAAAGAGCAAAACCCTTTTTTATTTAGGTATAAACTCCACGCCTTTAAGTTCAAAAGGTTAGGAATATGGAGCACATTGAGCCTCTTGTTGCTTAAGAGGCTGCTTTTCTCTTTGTTGTTTAAAAAAAATTTACCTTGAGAGCTTTGACTGAGTCTGGCTGAGGATCGGGTCACACGGGCGGATCGCCGTGACGTGCCATCGCTTTCAGAGCTGTCTGTATGCTCAGGGTCAGTAGAGAAATCAGAGTCTTCTGTTCCATCTGAGCTACTGCCTGCATTCCTCTGCAACACCACAGACCCAGAAATTAGCACAGGAGCACTTAAACTTGCATAGTGTATTTATACTTTTTACATAAAAAAAAAAAAAAAAAAAAAAAGCACAAAATAACAAAATATTTTGTGCTAGACAGATAAATTCAAGCTGACACAATGACATATGCAAGCATCACGTGTATTACTGTGGAAAAAATATTTTAGTTTAATAAATATGCAGTGTCAGTACCTTCAAGAATAAAAAGTTTCTGCAAACTGATCCACCGAGAAAGATCACAGTAGCACCCGATTTTATTTAAAGCAAAAGGCAAATGAAGTTCCCAGGCTGGACAGGACACGCTCCGAGCTGCCGGCTCTTTTTGCCGAGCCACCAACGCTCCCACACCATCTGCCTCCTCAAAACAGCAGCGGCAGCCCCAGCAGAGCACAAGGCACCGCAGGAGCAGGCGGCGGAGAGGACAGATGGGCTCCAGCAACCACCGAACCGACTCTTCATCGCTCGGCAGCGCAGGGCGGCGTCGGGGCTCCCCGGTGGAGACAAGGAGGGAAAACGAAGGCTCTCAGCGAAGAGCCTGAGCCACAAGAGGCTGCGAATGCAGCTGCATTCACCTCGTCCTGGGCCACCGGAGCGGCCCCCCCGCACCGCACCGGGCAGGGTCTCTGAGGGAAGCAGGGCCTTAGGAGTCGGCAGGCACCCACCAGGCCTCCCAAACTCCCTCCCCTGACCGGCAACCCTGACCGGGA